AAAAAAAAAAAAAACTTTTTTCCAAAGGACCCGCGCCCCAAAAAGGGGGGGGGGGGGGGGGGGGGGAGGGGATAGTGAAAAAGAAACCCCACCCTATAGGGTAAGCGAAAAGAATGCTGGGACTCACTATCCACGATCCCTAATCAATTCACATACGAAGATAATGAAAAAGGCCCACAACTAACCCACTCGTCGCTCCCTCCCTAGGCTCGCAAACGCGGTTTCTGATGAAAATACGCGCTACGCGCCCTGGAACTAAAGGGAGAGAGAACGGGGGAGAGACACAACCGCATGAGCCGGCCGATTTCTCACGCTGTACAAAACGGAACCTTGCCCGGGAAGCTGCGGTTGGCTGCTTTTCCGTCGGTTCTCCATTTTTTGCACACTTCGAATGCGCCAATTTTTTTTGCCTTTTTTCAAGAGACAAAAAGAAGACAGCGGCGGTAAAATTTGCCGGTGACGGATGCTATTGCATAGTTGACAGCAGAAATACACTGGCGGGGGCAGCAGCTGCGTGGGATAGTCTTCCAAGCGGAAGATATTGGCACAACGAACAGAGAAACCTCAAAACTAACAAATCGTCGTTATGCATGCATGCGTGCTTGTCGCTGCTGTCACCGCGTCAGCCGCTCGCTCGCTCGCCAAGCACGGGGTTGGAAGGAAAGGCCAGGCCACACCGCCGTCCGCATCTCGCGGTACATAATAACGCCGGTCATTTGCCTGAGGCGCTGTCTTCATCGCTGCCTTTGGTGAGTGCTACCGCTCGTCGGTAGGCCTCCAGCGAGTTCTCCAGGCTCCCCGTCTCCAGGTAGCACTGGCCAAGCTCTTCCCACGCCTGTGAGGAGGGGTCGTCGTAATAACAATGGGTTTTAGTTCTCGCCAGTGACAGAAAAGCGTTGCTCAGGGTAGATGAGAAGAAAAAACTAACGATCGAACATGAAACGTGCGATTTTTGCCCGCGCTGCCCTGGGGAGGCAAAATTAATTCTTTTATGAAGGCTGTGCAAGGCTCCCCACAAAAAAAACGCGCTGTAGAAAGGGGATGGCGTTTTGCAGAACCAAACGCAACAACATGAATTTAGAGTCAGGGATTTGCACAAACGCAGCTTTGTTTTGTACGCGGGGGGCGAAAACAAATTACCGAGAAAGCATGTGCACATTGAGAAAGTTTTAAGCGCACTTTCGGCTAAAAATTCCAAGCACGCGGATAGGATCCTGTGGTCGTTGAGGTATGCCTCCGAGGCACATATGCATGCAATTTTTCAAGTTTTTTTCCCCGCGACTGCTGCTACATCTACTGCTCGCTGGGCATGTAGCATCCTGTGCAAGTGCTAAGTTGTGTCACGTATCATGGTTGTAGTCTCAAGACAGGTTCCGGTTTCCCCTGCCAGTACATGTCTGACCCGTGACGTTTGAAAGCAGCAATCACAGTACGAGTTGCAGCATTGACGGATTCATGCATGGAAGTGAACAAGGCTTCGACTGGACTGCTGTGGTGTTGTCTCGAACGAGAGGTCTTTTTGGTTGAATGCATGCATATATTTTCTGAACAAGGCCTGTTATGCGTGTTTGCGTCTGCTGTACACGTACTTTGATGGGTGTTCCGAGACCCTCCTCTATCGCAAGGACAAAACCCCAAAAGTGCAGATTTTCAAATGTTTTCATGAATTTCTCTCGCTCTCCGCGCGGTTAGTTCCTCGACAACATTGCGGGAGCAGCAGCAGGCAGGAGCCTAGAGAACGAGTGGTAACAATAGTGCCAGCAGGTGCGGCAAGGTGTCAACTTTGTGCGTGAAACTAACGCCTGGGATACATGCAGCCTCCACTAAAGGAATGCCGTTGGCTCCCTACATTTATCGCTGCCAGGCCCGCGGGATACACATCGGGATCTAACCCAGAAACCGCTCGGGGGCAGGGGGGCAGTGTGGTCCGGATGAACCTGCTTGGAAGTCTCTAATAAAATAGCCCAATCTCTTGCTTTCGCGCGGACCTTTGTGTATCGGGTTCAAACGCAAAAATGTACTTCGGTAGATACCTGGGTACCGAGGAGCCAAAGGCTCCGCTTTGGGACAAGTAGTTCATTGGCACTTCGATACTGCCGTTGAACTTTCTTACTACTGCTGTACAACCAAAACTCGCACGAAAAAACAAATGGGGCGAAGAAAACGCAGAACGCATCCAATGGTTGTGCATCCTCTCTGGTAAAAGCTTGTCTAACGATAAACATCGGTGCGCGGGCAAGCAACGGGAAGCGCCCTCGAGAATTGGAGGGTAAATAACGAGGACATCAAGTTGCCTATCTACGTCTGTCTCACGTCGACATGGTAACGTGCCACACCCGAAGGATGCGTAAATATGAAGTTATTCGTATGAGAGAGGAGTGGCTGGCGCTCGGCATGCGCCCTCCAACCAGAATCGCGCGATCGTTCTTTGCGGTTCAACACTAAAAAACACTGCCGGCTCTGTCAGAGGAACAACTTCGTCCCAACAAGATGCGACTAATAATAAAAAATACTGAAAAAAAGGTTCCTGGCAGCGAGAGAAAAAACGGTGCGAGGAGGAGAAGCGCTTCGTTGGTCAACGATCGCACGACATGACTGAAGCGATATGCAAGGCAGGGAGTCCTTTTCCCCCATATCACACAGCAGGGAGACGGCAACAAAAAAACTGACATAAAACTTCCAATTGAAAACTTCCATGTATTTGTACCATCGCGGCTGGATGGCCGCAGGTCATGGTTCAGCAGATGTGTTGGGAATGCGGCAAAAGTTTAGTGGCATTGAATCTCATATGCATATCGTTCAACTTTACCAGTTATCCGTCGGGGAAGCTTACCTGCTTGTTGTTGGGGTTGGTCCTGAGAACTCGTAGCAGATATTCCTGCGCCTGTCGAGTAGAGGAACGACGTGGGTAGGGCAGGCAGGCAGGCGTCGAGGTCAACCGCGGCACACCCAACAACGACACAGCAGGACATTCGGACCCCGGAGAGATGCAGTGCCCAAGAAAAAATAGGAGAGCAGGAGAACGGGATGAAACATGGGGAGAGGGTTGGGCAGCAGCAGCAGCAGCAGTCGCCGACGACAGGGACAGAGAAAGCGATGCAGTGCAAGGAACGAGCTCGAAGGTAGAGAGGAAGGCAGGGGGGAGCGTGACGAAGAGGACAAGGAAAACATTGTGGTAAAGATCATCGGGCGGATGGGGGCAAAGGCCCGACCACGCCGCCAAAAACTCTAGCTGCTGAAAAAAACACTCATCGATTCAAGACGGAAAGAGCCAGCTTTTTAGGCTGTGGATCGCCAGCGCAGTGCCACCATGCGCTCGCTGGATCAGCGTCGCATACACCTCAACGTCAGACGCTGCAGACGAAAGCGCGAACGTGGGACCAGCACCCAGCACCGCCCCATGTCTCGCCGCACTACGGACAAGGATGAAAATGCTCCGCTGGATCCTGTCTACTTTTTTCTACCTGCCTTTGCCTGGTGGTTGCTACTTGTCAGCCAGCAGAAAATAAACGGCCGACACACATCCCGCTGAGTTGTACCGAGAAGATGGCGGCAAGACGTGTCTTCAGAGAACCACGCGGCATGGCCTTCTGCTCGACACGGTGCGGAGAGCAAGAACGGTACGGGCCATCGAGATCTCGAGGCGCGTTGACAGCCACTCGCCCTCGCGACGGCGCACTTTCGGTGCTGCTTTGCTGAAAAAACTCACACGCCGCGCCGCCGCCGCCGCCGCCGCCTACCGCACGCACGCACTTCTGTGACGTTCGCTCTCTCAGGACTGACCTTGGGGAAGTTCCCTTTTGCCCGAGCGTCTGCGGCCACCTCCATCAGCAGCTTGGTCGTCGACATGGGGGCGGGCGGCCGGGAGTCGGATAGGTGTCGACGCAGGGAGTGGTGCGCGGTGATCTATGCTAGTACGAAGTACGAACAACGTGAGTGGTGCACGCGAACTCCTCCTTTTTCGCGCCGCTTGTTACGGTTCATCACTGCATGGACTTTTTTTTTTTTTTCGTAAGTATGTGACCCGACGAATCCTTGTTGTACTGGTTTCCGAATTTTGTTGTTGTTTTTCTTCACATTAAACTCGTGTCAGTTGCTAATCCCAAAATCTAGCAAAGACTCGGCCCGTGGTCACAAAAATAGGGGACGCCCGTAAGAACTGAACAAAAAAGTAACGCCTTTATTTAAACATCCGTCCTCCCGCCGTTCCACCGCAGCTCATTCATCGGCGCAGATCTCGTAATAACCCTATCACCGGTTTTCGCCCCTTTCCCAGTAAATTTGTTTTATGCCCCCGGCGCCAACATGGGCATACTTCAATCGTAGTACAAGCCTTTGTAGATAAGACTAAGCAGACCCGCGTTCGTTCGTACTTCCGGGTACTTTGGTGTCTCTGAAAATCACCGAGCCAGGGTTGGTTGTCGCTCTACCTGTGTACTCTGCTCACAGCCGGTAGTTGTTGTTCTACCGTAGGTACACTATTATTGTAGCATGGGTAGGTTACCGCAGTGCGTACCGCTGCTCTCCGTGCTGTGGTTGTTGTACTAGCCGTGTTGTTGTTATATGTAGTCTACACGTACGTGTACACGTCACAACGATTCAACGACCCCTACTAGCAAGTAAGGTTTGCCCGAAGTAGTGTGTGTGTACGTCTGTCTGTCTGTCTGTCTGTCTGTCTCTCTCGTCGCCATCTCTCTTGTACGAGACTCTGCAAAGTAGACTATACTCTGCACGTACACGCAATGCATACATACGCACGGCTATGGTTGGCCAGCGAATAAAATATACTTCAATATCACGAAACAAACTCCCCGCCCCCATCGTCAACTTGTATGCGCGAAGTATGTATGTGTTATGTGCCTTGAACTCCTCTTTTTTGGTGGTTGGTACATTTCACGTGTGGACGAACACATAATGTATGCCGAGACTTGGCCAGCACGGTTCGGCAATAATATGACGTTCTTCAACTCTCACTCGTACTCCTCTCTGTCTGGTACATGTCACTGCTGCTGTGCTTATTGATTGCTTTTTAGGTCCGCTTATATGAAGTATAGACTATCATATTGGGGCCAGACCCGCATGCGGTGGTACAGCAGCAGTGATCGCTGTGCCCTAAAAAATACTTCGCACTTGGTTTCGAGTCAAACCGCCATCGGAGACGACTGAATGACTCAAAACTTGATGTAATAGTTGAATTTCAAGTACAATACTTCCAGTGTTATTAATAGAGGGTGGTTTCGGAATATATTCTTCAAAAAGTTCACTTTTTGTAATGGAGCAACTAAATAGTGTATTTGCATTGTACGAGCGTTTCATGAACGTTGTATAAGCGCCTATTGGATATTTTGAATTTTCTTTGGATATGGATATTTGCCGACGTTGAGGGGTATTGAAGTAGCTTGAAGGAAGATCAAAATCCCAGCCCCGCTCCCTCACTCTCCGAGTGGGCGCTGAGCGGACCTGGTCTAAGAAGGCTAAACAAGAGATCAAACAACAACTGTGAGTACCCGAAGCCAGGAGCAACGAGCTTGCTCCCTTCCCTCTTTTATTTATCTGTTCCTCCACAACATTGTGGCGTCGTCTGGCATTTGGACACCGGTCCTTCGCTTCGGTGCTCATCGTTCGCGTGAACGTCTCGCATTTAGGTCTTCTCGATTTTTTTAGTTACACCTGGTTTTCGAGAGGGCACGGTTTTGCTCTCTCTGACTCACTCGGTGGGGCACTTTTTGTTTTGACGTGTGGTGGGCGTTTGCTCCGGTCGTGTGCGCGACGGGCGTTTGCTCCGGTTGTGTACGCGACGGGCGTTCAGGCCTCATGCGCGAGGGCTTCCCCTCGCATGGCTTTGTGTTCACCAAGGGACGGCTTGGTGGACGCTGTGGCCCTTCTTTCCCCACTTGCTCGGCAAGCATGCTCGCGTAGGATTGCTCTCCATCCATGAATGCTTCGACCTTGTGCATGACGTGCATGTTACAACAAAAGACATGCCCCTTTGCTCCCAAGACGACACCTTTCTGCCTGCTTTCGGGGGAAAGCCTTACGCTTCTCACGCGCTTGGCTACCCCCCCGCATGGCGGCGACAGGCTGCTGAATGGCCGCTTTGTTGGCATGATCTGCTGCCGTCTGGTTGTAGTGGGTTGCGCTCGTTTGCACAATCGTTCACAGGGACCTCAGAAATTCGCGAAAAAGGTGCCGTTGTTGAGCATTTCGATCGGGGGCTTGTCTCCACCGATTTGTGGCCGGAGGACATTCTGCCGGCACCGGTTTCGGACCGTGCGTTACGTCTGCTGAACCGCGGTCAAGGCCGGTCGATCGAAGAGAAGGCCGCGCACGGCCACTTTGTCGGGCGAAAAATTTCGCTCTTCGCATTCGTATCACGATTTTTTCTTTCTAGATTTTGTTTCTGCTGCATCGTGCATTTGGTGTTTTCAAGATCAGCTCATGCCTTTTGCCCTCGCTGCTTTGAAGAGTTTGGATGGCAAGGGCCGGCACTCTCTCCTCGATTGGGTCTCGACCAGTCACTCGATCAGTAACTCGCCCGCTGATGATGGTGTATCGCCGTCCTCTTTTCCTATTGCGGACGATGCCGCTGCTGCTGTTCTGTCGTCTGTTTTCCCCCCTGGGGACAACACACATGTGTCACCCATGGCAACACAGGGTGCATGCATGTCGGTTGATCTCGACACCACCGCAGATCCCGCTGCGATGGCGAAACTGAAGGAGGACCTTCAGGCTGACACGCCTGTCAGCCCGGTCACGGCAGGAGAGCAGGGGAGCTCTCCTGCTGCAGGCACGCTCCCGGCGCCGAGGGAGACGAATGATGGTGGTGGCACACCTACTTTGTCTCTCTCCGCTGGGGGTCCATTCGGAACACCGAGTAAGAGTACCGCGGTGTCGCCTGGAGCCAGTAAGGGTACTGGTTCCGGCGGCATCCCCCGTCAGATTGCCGCTGTCTCTCAGGAGACCGCCGCTGTGGCTGTCCCTCGGCTTTCAACCGCCGAACTCGAGGCACGTGCGTCTCGAAGAGAGACCGACCAGCAGAAAGCTCGCGAGCACCATGCTCGTCTGGAACAAGCAATTGCCTTGGCAGAGGCGGCTGCGCGTGCCAGATCGGAGCGTCTGCGCAAAGCACGGGAAGAAGAGGAACGGCTGGAGGCTCAGCGGTACACCGCGTTGTTGGCAGAAGACGCGGAAGCACAGTGTGAGCACACGGCATGGATGGCATCTGCTTCTGGGACGGCCCGTGATCTCGAAAAGCAGTTAGCACCTTTGCAAGCCGCAGAAAATTTCCCCGAACTTTCTGACGTTACCGTTGCAGTTTCTGCTGCTGCCGCCGCTGCCCCTGCTGCCGCTGTTGAAGCTCCTGTTGCAGCTGCCGCTGCTCCTGCTGCAGCTCCTGCTGCTGCCGTTGCAGCTCTTGTTGCAGCTGCCGCTGCTCCTGCTGCAGCTACCGCTGCTGCCGTTGCAGCTCCTGTTGCAGCTGCCGCTGCTCCTGCTGCAGCTCCTGCTGTAGCTGCCGCGCCACCTGTTGTTGCGGCTGCACCTGTTGCCGCTTCTGTTGCGACAGGTGTAGCTGATGCGTCTGCTGTTGCAAATCCTGTATTTGTTGCCGCGCCTGTTGCAACTGGTGTAGATGCTGCGCCTGTTAATGCTGCTGCTGCGGCTGCGGCTGCAGTAGCCTCTGCTGCTGTGGCTACGGCCGATACGACTGGTTTCGACAGTGATGCTGCTGCGGTTGCGACAAACACCATGCCTGTTGAAGAGGGAGGCACGGAGACTCGCAGTCGGAGTTCCGCAGAGATCACTTCCATCTCGGCCGGTGGACCAGTGGGACGCGTCAGGAAACGGCGTAAACCCCGCAAAAACTCGTCCAGCTCGTCCTCTTCGAGCACCTCTTCGTCCAGCTCGTCTTCTTCGTCTTCATCGTCTTCTGAAGCAGGTGATTTCCAGGCTAGTTCTCTCCACACTAGACTTCTAGGTCTCAACATTGACGGATTAATCGAGTTCGTCAACACCAGCATTTTTGCGACGTCTGAAGCGAAGGATGCTGGCCTTGCGCTAGTGTACAAGATCTCGTTCGATCTAGCTTCTCGGCGTAATGAAACGGTTTGAAGTCTGCTTTACCGCTCCGTTTGGTCGTCCACGAAACGTCAGCGGCTTGAGCGGCTGGTGGTTGATCTGCGTCGTGTGCGGGCGGCGGATGTGGGCATCTCCGCACGAGCGGATGTGGACACTTCTGCACGTTCGAGGTCTGGTTCGGCGGGCTCGGGGGGTCGCCGCTCTTAAATGGGGGGGCAACCCTCGGAACCTTCCGGGTGGGGCACTTCTGCGTCTGCTGGGTCCTACCATTCCTCTCGTACTCACGACCGCCTGCATACACAGCAATACCTCAGGCAGGATGCAGGCCGTTCGCGAGGACATGACTCCCGCGGACGCACGGATGCTCATCCGGGTGCCGGCGGGGGTAGCCACCGGAATGACGGGGGAGATAGCCGCCGGAATGCCGGGGGGGGGGAGGCTTCTGACCGTGGCGGGCACGCTCATCTCTCCTACTATGGTCCGACTAATAGCAGGCAAGTACAGTATGGTATCGCAGGACAAAATGTGCCGTTTTTCCAGCAGCCGTGGGCCGTAGATGCGTTTGGAAATCCGTACCCGTTGCAGCCGCCGTTCATGGGTTCTGGGGGTCAACAGTGGCCCGTGACAATGCCGCAGGACCCGATTACTGTCGCTTCTGCCCAAATGGCTGCGGCCGCCATGCCCCCGGTCAGTTCTTTGTCGCCTCACATCGCTGAAACGTCGGTCAAAGCGACCCAACCCATCGTTGACCA